TACTATAATGAGAGTAATGCTAGGGATCCTAGCTTCTTATGGGTCGATGCTGCTAATATTTTAAACAAGAAAAATTAATCTTTTTTTTAATTTTAATTAACAAATATACGTATTCGAAAGGAAATGTAGTAGATTGGACATTAATATATTTTAAACATTATTATGTATTTTAAGGAAAATGTATTAGATTAGATATTAATACGGTCTGAAATAAATTTAACCTTTCTAAATTAGCACATATTCATGGGCAGATATTATTCATCAATCTTCATGACCTTGATATAACACGATCAGAGATTAAAACAAAATAAAGTACGAAGAAATTTCCGAACCATTTTGAATAAAATACGTACGTAGTTATTTCAACCATTAATATCTGGACTCTGTAAAAGTGTAATAAGTAGTAAAACTTCCAGAAACGATTCTTTGCATTTCTTAAGACTTGCAGCTGCATTAAGTTTGTGCGTAATTATACCTATGCGACTGAACTAAATTTCTCTTTTAAAAAGCCTCATTTTTTTGAGTAATCTGTATGATTCGTGTTTGTGGCCAGTAAACATCTGTTTTTATTTATAAAGCGATATACATATAATATGTACGTACGTATGTACTATGTACATTGTAAAGGGGCCCGGGTGACCGCGATCTTATTTTTGCCTATTACTGTTATTATTATGTTATTATTATTGTTATTATTATTTGTTACGAAGTTGGGACAGTATGTGTTAATAAAAATAGGAAATTCATACCTGCGGCAATTTGCCGTTGAGGCAAATTGTACGTACCTGGGGCAAATTGCCCCTAGTCGTCTAAGCCTGGTACAATTTCATACCAGATCGATCCTGTTATTCTAAATTTGTTAAAAATAGAATATATTAAAATAGCAGAAGCTAGTAAAAGACATTCATGTACGCAGCATTGGTCAAAAGTATTTAAGACCTCTTGTTTCGCTTCAATAAAAAGATAACTCAGTGAGAGTTTGTAGAACCCATTAGAATTCGACTCATATAGAGTCTATTATTCTGACATTATTAAAGTTTCGGTCTAATTACCCCCCGATAAGTCAAATCTGCATAGAGTTAGTAGTCTAAACTCGTGACGTAATCCAGAGCTCTATTTGACCCTAATAACTCGAACCAAGTCTCACCACGCCTCGATCGTGCCTTCCACCATTAGGGTTGATAGGGTTCAGTAGTTTAGAGTATTGTTTAGTTTTAGTGTTAGTTGATATCTGTATTGCACATATTTTGTGGTTGGATCAGTTCTCACGTTTACAACGTACGCCATTTTCAATTGTTACCGAATCGGCTGATAATAATAATTACGTATTTATTAATAGCGTTAAGATTCTACGGAAATTAGATTTTATATCATCCTACCTAATGATGGGTTACGCAACCACGTGATGCTAATTGTCACATGCTTTTGCTTATAAAAAATCAACATCAAATTTGATTTTTATAAGTAATAGCATGTGACAATTAGCATCACGTGGTTGCGTCACCCATCATTAATACTGCACATCGTAAATGTGTACAAGGTTATGTCGATCACCGAATCGAAAAACTCAAGTACAAATTTTAATTTACTTTATATTCAATATTCAAGTGTACCCATATACCTAAAATTTCGTACTGAAAACTTTTACTTAGAAGTCAAACTACGGTTATCATAGTAAAATCTTGAGTTATTTACGATTTTCCTATTTTCTTAGATAACTCAAAATTTTACTATGATAACCGTAGTTTGACTTCTAAGCAAAAGTTTTCAGCACGAAATTTTAGGTATATGGGTACACTTGAATATTGAATATAAAGTAAATTAAAATTTGCACTTAAGTTTTTTCGATTCGGTGATCGACATAACCTTGTACACATTTACGATGTGCGACATGGACCCGCTGTGACGTAATTATGGTACAGCCAAAATTTAAAAAACAATATCTTAAATATATATAAATTGTATACTGTGGCTGCGCCATGATCTGGTCACAGCACTTTTAAACATAAATATTATCCAGTTTTCATAATTTTTATTATGCATAAAAAATTTTTTAAACCAATAATATGCAAGATTTGGAGTGACTGAGATTAAAGTAATATATTTTAATCATGTTTTTACTTTATGGGTCCTTAGATAATTTATGAGCTCTTATCAATTTTTATACAGTTCCTCTAAATTTTATGCACTTAGTAATTTAGACCATCGAATTTAATTTTAATAATCACAATGTTCCGACTGTAAATTTCGCTCATATGCTGTGTGAAAAATTTTATAGATAAGCATGCTGTATATTCAGCAATTGATATTTAGTTAATACATTTCTCAATCATTAATTTCTATTAGTAATTTATACAGAATATAGTGAAATTTTTGAAAATTTCACATTACATAATATAAAATCAAAATATAAAATTTTTCTATATAAAATCGTTTTCATCTTCATTTAAAACGTATGATGCATCGTAAAAATAAATTATTTGTCATACATATTCTCTCAAACTCTTTATGTTTCTGGATTATACTTAAAAGTCTGTTCGCAGTACATGTTATACTGTATACTTACATGGCAGTTTTCACAAATACGAATTCTTCAACGCCTAAGTTCTTCATGCAAGTAAACTTGTGTTTATTAATACTATACAGTATTTACAGCTAGGGATGCAGGTTAAATTAATTTCAATTCAACATCAGTTTTACCAATTATGGTGAAATTATTTTCATCACTACGTATCGCTATACTGTCTATTGCTGTTATGACATATTTGACTTAGCTGCTTGATTTGATTATGTGTCATCAAGTTATTGGATCTATGATGTGTATATAGCTTATAATTTTATTAATAAAATATTAAAAACAATGTGCGAATATTGCACATTGAAAAATCAACTAATGATTTTACAGTGCGCACGTCAAAATTTTTTTTTTCTAAAAAACTGGTTAATACCCACGTGTGGGATCAACCTAATGCAACTAAATTAACCAATCAAATGAATGTTCTTGCATGATATAAATAAGACATCGATCCTGAGAAATTATCCATTTCGTTAAATACTTGAAATATGTCGGTCGAGAGTAATACAAAATCTGAAATAAACGATATAACAATTTCCAAGCAACCAAATGAAAATTTATCTCGGAAAAGTGAAGATGAAACAACTTTGGAAAACACAGACGAGGAAACACAATCTGATGCTTTTAATCCAGATACCGGTGAAATCAATTGGGACTGTCCATGCCTGGGAGGTATGGCTAAAGGTCCTTGTGGGGAACAATTTAAAGCTGCGTTTTCATGTTTCATATATTCGAAAGCTGAACAGAAAGGAGCTGATTGCTTAGATGCTTTTAAAGAAATGAATGATTGTTTTAAAAAATATCCTGACGTGTACAAAACTGGTAATTTTTTTTTCAAAAAAATTTTTTTTACAAATAGCTTCTTTTCTAACTTTTTGTTGGATAAAAATTTTATTTTTACGTATCCAGAACTCGACGATAATCTCGATGATGATCTCGATGATCTCGATAATAAAGAAGAATAGCAGGTGTCGTACAGGAGTACCTTTTTTTGGGGGGAACGTTAAAGCCAGGTACGTTAGGGTTAGTTTTTTTGATGCTGTTAGTGGTTTTATTTATGTATAGATATCAATAATGGAATTTATGCAATATGTAGATCAATATGTAAGCACCTGGCTTTAACGGACCCTTTTTTTGTACCAGTTTTATGTAAATCACGCGGCGCAATTAATTTTTGTTATTAATTAAATATTATATATATATTTATATATATAGCGATACGTAGTTCTTCTTAATTTCATTTGTTATAAAACACACCTACTATATGTTTTTAAATATTTTTCTAAGTTTTGTATATAAAATTTTTAGCACAAATTTTTCATGTTGGTTAGTGTTAGAACTAAGGTCTAGGAAGGGTTTTGTGGGACGTAGAGCATTTTTACTTAGAGCATCGCATATTAATTAATTAGCCAATTTTTAAGATAATGCAACCTAGGTGATAAAACATCATAGGTGCATTTTAAAAGTGTTTAATTTTTGTTTAAAAATATATCTAAATAATAATAATATACAATTTTAACTATATACTGTATTTAAAATATAACAAACTATTTATTTATATTTTTTCTTTAGCTTTATTATTATTTTTGTACTGCTATATAGCCAACTTCTATGATATTGCTATATACATATATAGTATTTACTTTTATCTACATACTAGTCATTGTTTCGTGTAAAACTCTAAAGAATGCAATAAAGCTATATACGCCAAATTATTTGAATTTTTTATAACCAGAAAATTCATTTTTTTTTCTAACAGCATCATCGAGTCGCTTGAAATTCAACTTATTCTCTTTTATGAACTTTTTTCGAATTTGGGTGACAGTCCTCCCAGTCAAATCTGCAATTTTGGAATAATTATATCCCCACTGCGCCACCAACTGTATAAAAAGAATATTTATTAATATTTAATAGTGTGATTAAAAAGATTTTTAATAATTGTTACTAACTTTATAAAATTTTTCTGTATCTTTTCCGAACCATATCTTATTATCGTATGGAGTTTTAACACGACTGGTGTTAGCTTGATCGGTATCCACTGATTCCTCTACAATCTCCATTTCATGATATAATGCAGCTGCTTCAGGTGCAATGATTTTAAGACGTTCAAAAAAGTCCATATCAGGTGTAATCGTTAATTGAGTTTTTTTACTATGGAATGAAAAAAAAAAAAATTAGAAATGATTCAACAAAGTGCGATTTTATTGACTTTATGTAAAAAAAAAATGGGTAAATAATACATTCTCCTTCGTAATCGCATGGCATCATTTTCTGTGTCACTTATATATTCAATTGATTCGACATTATCATCGTTGCAATCTTGAGCTTGTGTATAATTTGAATCATACGTCAATATTTGACGTTTATTTGGTGGCTCATCTCCATCTCTGAAGTCTCGGTTAGAAAGTTCATCATAGTCATCGTTCTCTTCTTGAGACTCCTGCGAAGAACCGCTATAGGGTTTATATCCAAAGCTGGTGCGGTCCGAAAAATCTTCAGCGTATATTTCATTATTTTTTTGTATTATCGAAGCATTATTCATAAACTCGTTATCTTCCACTTCAATATGATGATTAATGTTTCTAGTATCATTAGAATGTTCTATATCTAGTTCAATAGGATGATCAATGTTCCTAGTATCATTAGAATGTTCTATATCTAGTTCAATAGGATGACCAAAATCATCTATGTCGTTAGGATATTCTTTATCTAATTCGATAGGATGATCAAAATCATTTATGTCGTTAGGACATTCTTTATCTAGCTCGATAGGATGATCAAAATTATTTATGTCGTTAGGATATTCTTTATCTAGTTCGATAGGATGATCAAAATCATTTATGTCGTTAGGATATTCTTTATCTAGTTCGATAGGATGGTCGAAATCATTTATATTAATAGGATACTTTTCATTTGGTTCAATAAGGCATACATCGTCATTTTCATCAATAGAATCCTCATCACTATCATTTTGATTTTCTCCACACCATTTCTTAATAAATGCTATTTTAAAATTTGACTTTGTTTTATCCTTATTATCAGGCATTCGCAGCCTTTTCTTTGCTAAGTTATCCGTATCTTGACAATCTTGACGAATAGAAGAACATATAATATTCCTAGTTGACTGATCACACATCTTAATGTATTCTTCCCAGGTGGGTGCTGACTTTGGATTAGATTGATTATACCATTGTTCTTTATCCAATCGCCCAGCACAAGCTCGAGCAAGTATTGTCGCTCCGGGAATTGGCTCAGGTGGAGGAATTGGTTTTAAAGGTTTTGGAGGTGGAAGTTCATATACTGGTTTTGGAACATTGGCCTCAATTTCTTCGTAAGTCGGTACGGTAATGACGGTAGGTTTACGACTAGCTTGACGAGGGATGTCAAAAGACTTGCCTAGTCTATTTTTTGGATCTAAAAGATGTGTGTGGTCAGTAAAGTCAGCAAAACAATTTTACTTGAGAAACGAAAATCAGAGCTTACCTGTAGTGGTGTGTGAAGGCTTTAATAGTTCCATAAAATTATTGAAAATTGAAATTGTAATTATAAAGAAACGATTAACAGTGATAGAGAACTAGATGTTAGATGAACAAGCTTACGCGTTGTTCAATGATGATCTAAGTATGTTCGGCCAATCAAAATTAGTTACAATTTTATCGGAGTTTTCTCGACAACCACTAATCAAAATTGGTGAAAACTTTATTATATAGATGTACGTATAGAATTGAAAAAAATTCATCAAATTTAGTCAAGAAAACATCAAATTATATTAGTTTTTAAAAAAAAATTATTATACAACAAAATACGCATTTATAAAAAGTAATAGAAATTATATAAAAAGATATATACTGTACAATAGCTTAGAACGTGATATAAAAAATCATTTAAAATAAAACTTGTATATCTGATATATAATAACACTAGACAAATATTGAAAAAATAAGTGATTATTAAAATTTTTTATAAAATCCTTATTTGTAGGTTAGTTCAAGACAAATTTGGTTTCTAATTGTTTTTTTTTGAAAAACCAAAAATATTGAAATAAAATTGTTTGATAATACGTATATATACTGTATATATATTTAAAAACAATTATTATAAAAATGCATCTATGATTTTTAGCACCATATATAACTGCTTTTAATAAAATTTAGGGTAGAATGCATTTTTAATATGAAATAGAAGTTTATATAACATAATAAAATTTTTATATAAAGGTTCAAATTTTGTCATATTTAATATTTTCAAAGGTTCTAAACATGTTAATTTAGAATTTCTAATTATTTAATATGTTTTTGAGAAATAGCACTTATAGTGTTTAGCACTATAGGTGATTGCCCGAAGCATGAGTGGAAGACTTTACTGTCCAGAGTTGTAACCGGTGCTCCTGCATTAAAGTTTTACTATCCAGACTTGCTTGTATAACAGGATACTTTACAAGAAGAAACATTTCTTTTCGATTTTACAAAGCAATAAAAAGTGTCAAAAAAAGTAAATAATAAAACAGCGATACAATATATTCATTGGCATCTGGCATAGAATCATATATCACAGTTGAATTTTCACATTGGAAACTTAAGATTATCTTTATTTAAATTATTTCGATAGTGAAAACTGATAAGAATAAAATTATCGAACCTAAGAAAAAGAGATCACAAAAACCAATTGTTAAAATTGTTATTAAATTGAACAATCATAAGACTAACTTAGGGCCTTAAAAAAAAATAGATTGACCCTTGCTGGAATCAAACCATCAAACCAAAGTCTTAAAATCAAGAATCTAACCAATTTAAAAAAAAATAAAGTTTTACATGATGCCAGATAATGCCAAGGCCTCGGAAAATTTTATTCTTGGGTTAAGTCCGATACAAATGAAACCAGATTTTATTTACAGTACATGTTTTGGTTTGATTTTATTAGTCATTATAAACATTGTAAATATTGAATTTGCTTATATTTATCAGGGTATATTCATTCATGTTCGTGTATTATAATTTATTATTTTCCTTAGCTTTCACAATAACAAGTTTGCGAATTTAGTTATGTATTTAAAACATAAGATAATAAAACCTTTTTTAAAAAATGATAAGTATTCCAAACATGGTTTTCTCTTTACCATTTCACAATAAATTAGCATGCTCATTTATCCAACAAGACAAATGAGAATTATGTGAAATGAATAGTAAAATGAAAGCCTTTATTTAGAAAATATTTAAAGGAGATAAGAAATTTGTATAATATTTACTAGTCAAGTTTATTATCAGTGAATGAAGTAAAGTTCCATATGTATGCAGTGTTGTACATGAAGTAGTTGAGACAAAGCTAAGACAGATTTGGGACAAATTTAAAGCTTTAAAAAAATGATAATAACTCAAAATTTTATTAAGACAACTTTCTCTTAAATAAAGAAGTTTAAAATTTAATTTTTCAAGCCAAACATTGAGAAATCAATAATATAGTGGGACGGGATAGGGCCAAAAAAAGCCTGGGACAGTCAAAACGTATAATACTATTATATAGGTATTTGATTTTGGTGCAATACTAGATAGTAGCAGTTTCACTTTTCATTTCGTCGGAGCTGATCCGATTAAATAGAAAAAACATCTTGGTTTAGTTACTTCCATACTAGGAAAATTCTTTTATCATTATCTTCACCGATTGTACTGATAATATACGTCTAACAGATATACAACCAACAGTAATACATAGTCTACAAAGTCCAATCCCTCAATATTTTTGGGAATTTTACCAGCTATAGCAATAGTTGAATACACTGTGTGAAAGTTTGGTTTCAAAACTGCTATGTTTATTATGATGTCTTGAATGTCCCTTTACAGGTTTATTTTATACTTCGTTCAAGATAATGCAAAAAACAAAGATAATAAAAAAGAAAATAGTGATAAAAGTAAAAACAAGGATGATAAAAAGAAAATGATAATAATAATGATATAATTGATATTGAAAAGATGATGATGGTGCACACAAAAAGGTTCTTACTGTTAAACCTATTGGACATCATGCAAAAAAATTTAAATCTTACCCCCCGAACAGAACGCAATTTTAGACAATTGGGTAGCGGAGCATCTTTATTAGATAGACTGGCATCATTAGTATCTGCCTATTACAGATTAATTAGTATATTTGTAGATATATTTAAAGCTACAGAGCCATGTATGGAAGGTAATTCTTTAGAAAATTGGCCCTTTATACCAACATTATTCATTTGGACATTACCCATAATTTTACCTAAGAATAAAAAATGGAAAAGTAGTAGACAGCGTGTCACTATACCCGTTAATAATTTCAACATAGATCAATTTTATAACAAAAACTCATGTTGCGATTACTGCATATCTTCTCTTGGTTAGCAATGATTATAGCGTCCAATTGGATTTTTTTGTCGATACAAATTTCTCATCATAATTTGCATTATCTGGTCCTTCAACAATATTGTTGCGTATATATTCCACGTGAATAGTGAAAAATATATATATACTTCTTCACAAATTCATAATTGGTTCTGTATTTGCAGGTTTATAGTAGTCATACTTTTGATTATATTGAATCTCTTAGCAAATATGATTTCATGGTGGACAATTTTGTTTGGCGTCCCACTTACACAATTAGATATAAATATGTATTACTGTATTATGTTATTAATCATTATAGGATTGTTATCTGGTTTTTAAATTATTATCGGGAATATTTTTGAATACTTTCTACTGGGTGAGTAAAAGTTTTCAGACAGGACCTTCTTAATAATGGATTTTGGTTATCATTTCAATTGTTATTTTATATTGCAAATATATATAGATATAAATTTTTATTATAAGCGGAAACAATAAAAAAGGTCCTGTCTAGAGAATTTTCATCCACTCAGTGTATTACCATTTCTTTATGATATTATCAGAATTAGAACAAGTATAATAAAAATATAAACTAAATTATATCTTAACCGAATATTATAGAATTACGCGTTTTATTTTCTACAATTACAATATTATTCTAATTTAAGTTTAACCTTAATTGAACGTGCTATTCCTAATACTAGTATGAAACACGTCTCTGTTCTGGATCAGCATTTCACTTATTTAACTCTCTTAAGTGTTTTTTAAACCAAATATTTGTAATTTAAATACATATTAGCAAAAAACCGATTTAACAAAATTCTTATTATAATGATTCTAGGGATTGGAACCATTATTGGTTTGTTTACGATATGCGATTAAACGAATTAACAATTTTATAAATGATTAATTTCTTCGTTTAATTAGTGTTAAACTTCAACTATTAAATATTTAATTATTGCGGTTTGCAAAAAAATGTGAAATTTGCAGAACAAAAAAAAAAAAGAAATCAATGATTTCTGATTTCTGATTGCCGATTTTTTTAACATTATTTCTGATAACGTATGTATATCAACTAATATTATACCATATAAAGTCTTATATATATTAATTTAGCATACATTTTTTTAAAAAAAATTCATTTCTAATAACTAAAATTATTATCCCGGAACATGCTTTGGATGCACAAATGTCTTATTTATCAACTTCTAAAATTTATTGTAATGAAAATATAAGTTATACTAAAGTTCCTTAGCAATATCATGTAATAATCC